CAAAGAATAACTACTGACCTGTCTTTCCTAAAAATAAGTGTAATTCATAATTTATAGATATTGAAGAAAAGTACCCTGTAAAGAAGCGCGATTTCCTACATTTTTAAAGAAAGTGGTACTCGAGCAGAAAAAAGTGACGTTTCATTTTGTATGGTCTTTTTTATGCTTATTGTTGAGAATTGTGAGAATAGAGCAATTTCACTTCATTTTCTTCAAAATGAATCCATTTCTCTCCGGAACAGACTGGCATTTATTAATCGAAATCGTGGTTAGATGTATGACGAGGAAATAACAGCGCGTTTTAAGTGTTATTATCCAGCATATCTCCGTGATGCTAAGATGGTGTTATTTTAGGTTTATGGATATTTCGTCTATGCAAAACATTGACTATTATGTAAAATCTATATCTATCTATCTATCTATCTATCTGTCTGTCTATATATATAGCACACCTTAAAACTATATATATATATATATATATATATATATATATATATATATATATATATAAAAAATAGTGCATTATCAGAGATAGAACGTATGTAAATATAAATATTAAACATTTCAAAACTGGATTTCATTAGTCGCAATCGTCAGGCGGCCTGATAATTGTGTCCAGCAAAACAGCCTGTCATTGTTGACTTCAATTATGAAAATTTTCTTTGAAAAGTTTTATTTTCCCAATACTTTCAATCTCATCCGGGACCATCTTATCTATCTATGGATATGCGTTAAAATCTAAATTCAGAATATTTCTGTATTCTATGCTAGGGAAATTCTAGATAATTAAAATAATTAGACATAATATATAAATTATTCAACGAAACAGCACGCACACACACAAACGCACACAGACGCACGCGCACACACACACACACACACACTCTCTCTCACACACACACACACACACACAAAACTATATATATATATATATATATATATATATATATATATATCTATTTCAATGAAATCGAAAATTAAAAAATAAAACAGTTTTTTTTTTATTACTTAATTGATAAAACAAATAGAATTTAAAAATCTTACTTGAAACCATTATTAAAAATTTTCAAAAAGAGCTACATCTGTATGCCTACAAATTTAAAAATGTATCCTTAGGTCGGCGAAACGCATTTTGAAGCATTTCTGGAGTTATCGCCTTCACTGCTAATGTGTTCCTTAAGCTCAGCTAAACTAGTGATGTTTTGGCGACAAACCTGTTTTTATGAAACCTCTTGTAAAGAAATCCGAAAGGTTGGCAGGGGCCAAAAAAGATGCGATCTTGGGCATTCATTATTAATAGTGTTCTGCAATGGAATGAAAATAAAATTATTAAAAATTCTGAAGTTATGATAAACAAAATTAGAAACTTATACACTTCTAACACATTAAATATGCCGAACAGAAATAAAAGTGAGGTTTTGAAAAATAAATTTATGATTCTACTGAAGTAGATAATTGATTCGGTGACACGCTGTTTATACTTGAATTTTTAATAAATAGAATCAAGCAAACTTTTGTTTTAAAACAAAATGTTGCTAAAAGTTTATATGTCTATATTTCTGGGATGAATTATTGTAATTATTTACAATATATACATTGTTCAGACTGTTGTCCTCATCTTTATTGCCATATTCATGACGTTTCGGTCGTTGTACTCTCCGGCTTTCTTCAGGTGACTGGAATTTCGAACTGAACCTTTTATTTCGTCCACCGGGTTAGATTCTTCTAGTTTTACCTACCGTACCTCTTCCTGTTGTCTCAGTTATCTCCCTTTAACTCAAGACTTGACCCAAAGTTTTGTAAGTTCAATACCTGGCTACTACAGTAGTGAACACATAGTTGCTAATAGTTATTTTTAATTCTATTGAAATTTAAAAAACAAAAAAAAACTTGGAATAATGTATTCGATGTGGTTTACTGGTTAGCAAACGTGTCTCACTCAATCACTTATGACTGAGATTGGTCTTCACAAGTAGGTTTTAATCTAGACTTTTTGCCTCATCTATGCGGAGCTTGGTAAATCACTATAAAACTTTAAATGAATATTTAATGTTAATTCCTATGAATTCATTTTGAATGATGTTTTTACAAGTATTTTAAATAATTTTGATTTGACTGAGGATTTGTCCTTTAGATATCGGCATAACAGTTGCTTTCTATGAGAAATTTAGTTGGGCGTCTCCTGCGTTTTAGGCTGGAATTCGAATCTAGCCTAAAGCGTATTTAAGACGGAAAATATAGCGTTGACATAAAATCGTTAACAAGGAATTTTATAATTAAAATTTCAGAGTTAATATTACGCTCAGCAAAATCATTTAAATGATTCTCTGTAAATTTACGTTAACGAATGATTAAAATCTATAGAACATTTCCAATTCATTAATCGAAGTTGGCAACTGTGAAACCCGTGGCAGAATGAAATTTTAACGCTAAAAATGCTTCAAGCGTGTTACCTCTTAAATGTGATATTGAGACATCAGATCGATTTTTTTTCTTTTTA